CTCTCTGCCTCTGCCTCTGTCTCTGTCTCTGCCTCTGTCTCTCTCTGCCTCTGTCTCTCTCTGCCTCTGTCTCTCTCTGCCTCTGTCTCTCTCTGCCTCTCTTCCTCCCCTCATTTCACAAAAGGATTCTTGAGTGGATTAAGTTTGGGAAATCCTGAGCTAAATAAAATGGGTTTCTTTACCACAGGATTTATCAGATTCTCTCTTACAGTGATACACATTTTACCTCTCCAAGAGGGATAATATAATCCTCACATGTGCCTGATTCCAGAGCACATTTTCTTGAAACATCTGCTGGGAGTAGTTCTGCATATACCAGTTGGGGGTGGGGTTGGGGGGGTGCTAGAATTACATTGCTTCCACCTATATCTTCATCTTCCCCAAGGAACCTTGATGCCTTTTATTCAGGCAGCTTTCTATTTTTCTGACTCAAATGCAGAAGACTATCTTTTTTTCTCAGTCAACTGGGGCAAAGCAGGACAAAATTGTGCCTTTATCTGCTAACTCAATCAACTTCTGTTCTTGTGCCTCTTTTAATAATGATCCATTTACTTCTCACAACCTGGCTAGACACCTAGCTGGTTTCTATTAAAAATAAAGTTTCTGTTGTTTTGTTTTGTTTCTGCTTAGAAACTGTCACTGTTTATGCCCCCTATCGCCAATGTAAGTCTCTTCTCTCAGAAATAGGGCTTTGCTATGGTTGAGTCTGGAGCAGGTGTTCGCCTGCTCAGGTTTGAGTCTTGTCTTTGCTGTTCACAAGCTATGTGAGCAAGCTGTCAAGTCTCAGCTTCTGCTTTCTCATTTCTAATAATAATACCTTCCTTATTGCATTAAATCAATGCATATAAATCACATATAACAGTGCCTGTGACAGTGTTATACGAGTAATAGATCTTTTTATTATTCTTTTTATTCTGCTCATGCTAAGTCACCCTTTTCTCTATCGAGTCAGTACTTAGAGGAACAACTACAAAATCTCTCTTTGAGTGGGACCAGAACGATTCCCACTGGGAAGTTAACTCCGTGAGGGTAGAGACATTTTCTGTCTCCCACAACTCCATCACAGCCCTCAGAACCGTATCTGGCATGTAGTAGACTCCCAATAAATACTTATTGGATGAGTGAATGAATGAGTGTAAATGTACGTATGCGTGAACGAGACAGTGAGTAAATGAGTGATACCGGGAACTCTAGGGGCACTTCTGTGAGAAACCAGAAGCCTCTACTACCCATGTGCATTGTGATGAAAACGCAATGTTGCGCAACTTTTATTCAGCAAATATCTGGACTTCAGCATGAAAATACACTTGAGATTGACCATCATTAATCCTTCCACCATAAACAACTCGACAGATATTCAAGATAATGGTTTTTCAGACTGAGGACAATCAGCGGTACAAGACCGTGATCACCGAGGAAAGAAACGCCTGGCTCACTGTCTGAGGATAGTTTCCTTACTGCAGCAGAGTGAGCCAGAGCTCAAGCACAGCACAGCAGTGTCACTAAGCTGAGGACAGAGCGGTCACAGTTGGGGCTACTAAAGCTGCTGGAATCTGTAGCACAGGGGGACTGGAGATGAGGCATCTTTGCAGAATGGGGCCATAAAAGTTGGTATGAGGGCCCTTCATGAGTCCACAGCTAAGGGTGGGCTGCACCTGCTCGGAGTAAGACTGTAAGTCTTACCAAAGAGCTGCCACAGTGGTGAGAATAAACCAGAT